CCCGGCGGACGAGCGCGCGCTGCACGGCGCGTGCCAGGGCGCGCATCTCGTCGTCGACGTCGCCGTCGAGGCTTCCGACGGCTCAGCGTCTGCCGGCACCGCCTCACTGCTCGGCGCGTGCGCGCGCTGGGAGGTCCCTGCGGTGATCCTGTGCAGCGATGCGCTGGTGGGGTACGACGCGTCGGCGGACGTGTGCGACGGCGACGAGCTCTCCGACCCGGGCATGTCCCTCATCTCGCCCGAGCCTCGCCCCAAGCCCCCCGCCTCGCGCCGGCTTGCAGACCTGGCGGCGGCAGAAGACGCGCTGTCTTCGTACCGCGCCGCGGGCGCGCACGGGGCGATGGTGCTCCGGCTCCACCGCCTCTACTCGCCCGACCTGCAGGGCATGCCGCCGCTGCTGCCGCTGCTGCTCGCGGGCGGCGCAGGCATCGGCGCGGGACACTTTCGCGCGCAGGCTTGGGCAGCTACCGAGACACTTCCGAGACACCTCCGAGACACCTCCGAGACACCTCTCCGCTCCACACCCTCACCCCACCCCCACCCTCCCCCTCCCCCTCCCCCTCCCCCTCACCCTCACCCTCACCCTCTCCCTCCCCTCACCCTCACCCCCACCCTCCCCCTCACCCTCCCCCTCACCCTCCCCCTCACCCTCCCCCTCACCCTCACCCTCACCCTCCCCCTCACCCTCACCCTCCCCCTCCCCCTCCCCCTCACCCTCCCCCTCCCCCTCGCAGACCAACCTTCTCCATGCCGAGGATGCGGCTCTCGGCGTCACCCTTGCCGCCGACAAGCTCCTCGCACCAGGCGGCGCGGAAGGTGTCGACACGGTCGTGCTCACGGACCCGAAGGTGCGCCTGTTCAACCACCGTACGTAGAAGCAGCAGTAGCAGCAGCAGAAGCAGCAGCAGCAGCAGCAGCAGCAGAAGCAGCAGCAGCAGCAGCAGAAGCAGAAGCAGCAGCAGCAGCAGCAGCAGCAGCAGCAGCCGCAGCAGCAGCCAGTGCACGCAGTAGAGCATGACACTGTCGCCCTGATGGACCCAACTCTGCCACTCCCTCCTCCTCGGGGTCCCTATCCGCTGCCCTGACTTAGCAGCCACATCGACTTAGCAGCCACATCGACTTAGCAGCCACATCGACTTAGCAGCCACATCGACTTAGCAGCCACCTCGACTTAGCAGCCACATCGACTTAGCAGCCACATCGACTTAGCAGCCACATCGACTTAGCAGCCACATCGACTTAGCAGCCACATCGACTTAGCAGCCACATCGACTTAGCAGCCACATCGACTTAGCAGCCACATCGACTTAGCAGCCACATCGACTTAGCAGCCACCTCGACTTAGCAGCCACATCGACTTAGCAGCCACCTCGACTTAGCAGCCACATCGACTTAGCAGCCACATCGACTTAGCAGCCACATCGACTTAGCAGCCACCTCGACTTAGCAGCCACATCGACTTAGCAGCCACATCGACTTAGCAGCCACATCGACTTAGCAGCCACATCGACGTAGCAGCCACCGCGGATCCGGGTCAGGTCTGGTCAGCCGCGCACCTGCTTCGCTGCCTGACTTGCGTGCTGCGCCTCCCGCCGCCGCTGGCGCCGCTTCTGACGCCGGCCGGCCGCCTCGTCGCCTCCGTCTTCGTTGCGGTCGTCTCGCCGCCGCTCGGCCTGATCGGGCGAGGAAGAGAAGCTGGCGCTTTCGGTGCTCGACGTAGATGATGTGGCTGGCGCGGAAGTGCTGGATCTGCCGGGCGGCGGCGCGCATCTTCTTCAAGCGGAGGCGGCAGAGCGACATCCTCGCGTAGCCTTGGAGCCTCGCCGACGCCTTGCGGCGGCGCTCCCACTGCTGCACCTGCGAAGCGGAGTGGACGCGGAGGGCGTTGCTGGTGGGGTACCGACCTGGGGTGGTGCGGGGTGCGGGGTGTGGCCTTTTCGAGCAGCTGCGGCAGCATCTCGGAGATGTCGCGCTCCGCCAGCTCCTCGAGCACCTGCCCCGCGCCGGCGCGAAAGAAGAGCCGGGTTCGACCGATGCGGAACGCCTCTGCGGGGATGTCGAGCGCGAGCGCGAGTGCCTCGCAAAAGTGCGGCGGCTCGAGGTCGCGCAGGAAGGGCGGCATTTGCTCGGCGTAGCGCTCGTGGATCGCCTTGAAGGGAATGCGCGTCGGAAA